GGCTCCGGTGGCGTAGTGGTTACTGCGTCCGACTCGGATGCGAGAGATAGTGGGTTCGATTCCCGGCTGCGCCATACCTAAAACTTACAAAAGTTGTGCTAAGAGCTGCCTCGCTTTACGCTCAGTATTACCAGCTTAAAGTTAGGAGTGTTGAGCCAGGTGATGCTACGTGTGTGTGGCATAATGCACCAATACTAAACATCGCAATAAACTGCCACACTGCAGACATCGTAGCGATATGATTGAAAAATTATTAAAGCTACGTTAGAAGTCCAAATCACACACACACACACACAGACACACACACACACACAAGTATGTAGCAGCAAATGTGTACTTGCTGTAATTAATGCAGAGCTATGGATTTTCTAGAACAACAATTTTCTTTTTCGTATTTCACATTCAGATTCATTCATTTATAAACGGACCAATACAATAAATAAATAAGCGCAAATCAGTGGGTATAGTATATGTCAATCATGGGGTAATTTGTACCTATCAGAAATTCATACTGTGATATTATAACCTGTCATAAAACTAAACGTTTTTCTTGGTAACATTCAAATTGGTTGTGAGGAATATAGAGCTTGACTATATACTCCAATTCTTTAAAGACGTTGGGGTGTGTGTGCTTTTTTACAGCTTCTGCTTCGAAAAAACTTTAATCAAAATATTTATTTATGTTGATGCTACGGTTACTCGTTCATCACATTGCAAATGATTAATCTCGTGGTTGATTACATCCATCACAATTCGGCATTATAACACGCTGAAGATACATATTTAAAATGCTGTTAAATTCTGCCTTCGTGTTGTCAATAAAAGTGGCATCGAAGATTTCCAGTCTTAAATACAATTGGAGATATTTTCATAACGAAATTTGAAGATGATTTTATAACAATTCTGATGCTGTTATGGCGCATGTTGCGTGCTATATTTGACGTTCACACCTGGTGTATCTTTGCTCTCCAATTCACTAAAATCAATCATTTTCAAGTAAGTAAACACAGTTTTGCTAACGCTAATAAACCTAATATATTAATGTACAATCACTGTGATTCACTGATTCATAAAACTGTATCAGATGACATGCGTTTCACTCTTGAAATTCATCTCACACAATGGTTCCCTACTCCTTCAGCAGTTTAGCAAGTGACCATAGTTTAACCCCATTCGGTCAAAGTATCAAAATGAGTGACCTTTATTTAAAACCATTCGATCACAATATCGTAACACTGCCGTGGTAATTCTCCACTACTAACGTCATACCTTAAACGGTAAACCGATCTTAAATTTACCTACGGAATAATCCGAGATATTGTCTCATAACACAAAATATTCGAGACATTTCTATTTCAATGCCAGTCAAATAACTAGTATGTGATACAAAAAGTCGGACGACATTCCGATTGTAATTTATTTTGCGCAGTGTTGATAAGAACTGATCTGGTAAATGAAAATATACAGTGCACCATTTATGCTATAAAGGTTAATATTTTTACAGCTAAAATTATGTTGTAGTGATTTCCTACACCACAACATGTAGTACCAATTTAATGTAAAGCATAATTAGTCTGCAGATGGGTTCCGTAAAATATCTAATAATAAACCGTTCAAATAATTGTAAACTTGAGGTACAGAAAGATGCAATAGAAAATGTGATGATGTAAAAATCATATAACATATATACAAATTTTAGATACCTTATTAAGCGAACACGTATACAATTCATACAACCTTATTAAAATTTGTTTACACCATCTCAGGTGGTAAAAACGCTCTTAAATTTACTTAAGGAATAATAACCTGAGATATTGTCCTAGCACAAAACATTCGAAACATTTATTTTTTAATGCCAAATGTCAACAACTAACATGTGATAAAAAAATAATCTGGCATTCCGATTGTAGTTTATGGCTCAATAGACTATTTTTGCGCAGTGTTGATAAGAAGTGATCCTGCCTGGTAAATGAAAATGTACAGTTCCCCATTTATGCTATTACAGCTAAAATTACGTATTACTGTTCTACACCCCAGCTAGTAGTAGTACATGGCCAAGTTCAGTTTAGACAATTGTCATACCCATGCTGATATTTTGACCGAATGGGGTTATAACATGGTCACATGCTAAACTGCCGACGGAGTAAGGAACCATTGTGAGGAATGGATACATTGATGGATTTCACGAGTGAAATGAAGGTCACCCTATACACGTTTTATGAATCAGTGAATTACTGATTGTACATCAATATATAAATTAAGTTTATTCGCATAGAAAATAATTATTATTATATAAATTTACCGCCGACTGACAAAACGTTCCATAATGTGTCGATCTGATCTTAATGTGGGTCATTTATACTCATACAATGTAGCTTTACATCGTCTGTGCAATTCATGTTTTCGTGTTTTGTCATCGAATGCACTTCGCGTGTGCAGAATATACATCAATCACCATCGGGTATCGTTGTACACAAGAATCCACCTCCCGAGTACATGTATTTAATAAAGAAACTGATTTATGCTATTCCGTGACATATATTAAAGAAATGAAACGCTTTACATAATTAAGGAGTATGTAAAATTTGATTTCTCCACTCAATGATTTACAACCTCTCTCTCTCTCTCTCTCTCTCTCTCTCTCTCTCTCTCTCTCTCTCTCTCTCTCTCTCTCTCTCTCTCTCTCTCTCTCTCTCTCTCTCTCTCTCTCTCTCTCTCTCTCTCTCGCCTGAATCTTGTATCGTTTCTTACAATTGTATAAAATAATCAATTTATTGCCGCTATCCATGTACATTTTATATTTTTGTAGGAAAAGGGCTTATTCTAAGTTCGGGAAATTTCTACCCCGAACCTATCTGTAAACAGTCATGACAATTAAAATACCTTTAAAACAAATCCTTTCGAATCGGTTATCCGTCATGTGCGAATGTTGTTGTTATTGGACTAGTTACCAGCGAAATTTTGCCGAATGAATTACGTCACTTTATTTTGGTGCACTCCGGTTTGGAAATAAGTGGTACATCTTAATTCTAAAATGAATATTTGAAAATTGTTTAAACTTAACATCCTGATTATTTCAAATAACTGTTAACGTCAGTCTTTCTTTAGAAAAGAATCCCTCAGAAAATCATTTCCTTCCTTTCAATCATTGGCTAGATTGGAAGAATGGTGTGTTACGCATCGGCTCCTTCAAAATAACAAAGAAAGAGAGAAGACAACAAGCTTTGTAAATTTTAAGAAAAATAATTTATTTTCCTAGAAAACATGAAATAATGTAAATATGTAAAACAAGACTTACGATTTACGGAAATGATCCAAATTGTTTGATCTAAAGATAAAGATAAGTCCTGTAAAATGTTCAAAACACAGTCTGAAGTTTAGTTCTGATCCAAAATGGCGGATGACGACGTCAAACGAAGGCCAACAAAAAATCCAGATTTACACAGTAAAGCACAACATGTATTGTTCCGTTCCAATTTAGAATATTTTTGGAAAATGTCTTTGTCCAAACCAGTAATGTTGTTCTCCAAGAAAACAATTATTTAGGAAAACGAAGTTCAATTAACTCCACTAACAAAATACATGTTCTACGTAGACCTATAATCAGATAACTTCTATCACAAAAATACGTTTTTAAAGGTAATCGAAGTTTTTTAACCCTAAGATGTCACACTAAACTCCGACTCTGATTTTACGACTGCGACTCTTTACGTCTTGCAAAATACCTCAGAATAGAAACGAAGCTAATACGTTGTTTGAATTACACGCACACGGAGGATGCATGCAATTTCGTAATACATCTGGACATTATGAAAGCCTGACTAAGTATCAGCCAATCGTTTTTATATCTATTCCTGAATGTTTACTTGTAATAAATTTGCCATCATACACAGCACGTGCTCACTTGAGTTACATTTACGACTCAAGTAAACACGATTTTCTAACAACATATTAGATTGATATTAATATAACCCTATTAATAATAACATTTAATGAAATAAAAAGATTTATACAAACTTGATCCTTTAACACACACACACACACACACACTCACTTCAACTACAGGGTCCTAAATATGTGAATTTTGTAAAAACCGGAGACATTTCGGATTTAGCTTACTGACAAAACCTTTCAAAACACGCTCTCCTGACTATAGACCAGCTATATTCAATTAATATTGAATATCAGGGCAGTATTTTGGATTTGTTTTCTTTGTTTTTAGTACAGTGAGACCCGATAGGGTAAGCATGTAAATAGACTTTTATGACACAAATAGCCTCAATAAGATCATGCTCACTTGAAACTTTTGTCTGCTATCGTCATTCATGTTTATTAGTTTTGGAATCCAATTATTTGTTTGTTTTCAGACCAGAAGAAGGCGCATCCTCGACACCTCACTGTGGGATGGGTTCAAGGTCTATACATGACGCAATGTGTATCGTATCTAATCTTACCTTGAACTCTTTCAGTTGATTTTACGACTATTGTTACTGTGTAAGTCCAGTCATTTGTATTCATTTCACTAAGCGACCTGAACTCTACAGCATGGCTGGTGCGACTCTCTCGTTGGACAACCCTATATTTGCCCAATTTTTGTTTTATGCTGGAGTTGTTCTTATAAAAACATGTCTGATGAGCTTACTTACCGCCCGATACAGACATAAGAACAAGGTAAATATGAACTCTTTGTCCAAAGTTACTTTCTTACTACGCCTTTGTTTCAATACTAGTTTATTTTGTTTGTTTGTTTATTTGTTTTGCTTTAACTATTAAGTATCATCTTTAGTTTTATATAACCATATCATATCGTTTTATCTTCATTGAAATAAACTTTACAATTGTGATGAAAATATTTTGATTATTTCAATTCAGTTTGAAACCTTTCCCATTAGGAACTTCTAAATTTCAGACCTGGATTCAAGCACCTAAGCAGTCATTACCATGGGTTTTTTTTATCTTGATCATAAGTTTTGAAACATATCGTAAGCTCTCCTGCAAGAATATCCTCGCCTTTCAAATACCATTATAAATGAGTTATATACCTATTTTTAACGGGTAATAACAGTTTAACCAA